GGATACCTCGAAAAGGACTGCGATGCTATTCTGACCCATTGCAATTAGCTTCCGCTACACAACTTGTGTAGTGTGTATAAGTGCAATTTAAATAAATACCACCAAAATTAGGTCGTATTTTCCTTAAATTGCACATTCCCACGTTACTTTAATATGATCTAAATATGGGAAATACCAGCTTCCGTACGATACAACGACACCGGACACATTCAACAAATGCGAAATGAGTCACTATGTGCCGGTATGCGCAGTGCATAAAAGCCAACCTGTGCGTGCTCTGTTTCGAGTTTCCCAGTTCCTTGCCAGACTTTCTTTTCGTCTCTCTTGCTCTAACGTTTTCGTTAACGCCAAATTTCTGATTACGCATGCGGTTGTAAACTGACGGCCTTCATTAATAAGAAGGTTCCGTCGATTTAATTTGATTGGGCTGGTGAAATAAATAGTAAAAACTGCAAAAATGGCTTTAAAAGCTCAAGTGGGCCACAGTGAGTACATTTTTTATAATCTCCATAAGCTAACCACACTTGTAACAGTGTTGTTATCTCGATTCATTCATGATTCGGTGATTTCACAGGGCAAATCGTTAGTAGGAAATCTTGCCCTCGTGAATATTTATTCATATATATTTACATATTTGAGAATATTTTAAACACGTGGTTTCTAATACGATTATGTTTAATTTAAAGCAATGAGCAGTTATCGATTTTAGGTGTATTTAGATTTACCTACACCATTTTTACGTTAAAGGGGAATTTTGACGTCACATATGTCAATATTAACCGGGAGGCGTGCAACCAAAGTGTTTACATTCAATCAAACCTAACTTTCTAATTTTAATTTGGACTCATTTATTGGTAGTAACTACATAAATATCATGACATGTATCGTATCAATGCATGTTATTTAGACAGGCATTTAATTCGCAAAATGTTGTTAATTACAATAAACGAAGGTGTGATATTTTTATCCTCCGTTAAATTTACTGGACTAGTAACTTTACTTCCTATGCTTATATATATGCGCTTCCATGACTAGTGCTGGTTAAGTAGATTTAACGGACTGCCAGGTATTTTATTAATACAAGTTTGACCATACAAATATAGAAGACTCAAGACTATCATTACTATCAATAGGTTGTTGAAAAGGTCGCCTCATACATTTCAAAATTTAACCCTACAGTGACTACATATTTAGACCTCCACCGTTCTCATGCTCTTGTTACCTTCTGACAACACTCTTATGAAGAATCAGTGCTAACAGTCTACTCCATAAGTGTTGAATGTATCCAAAGGGCCTCTTAGTAAATGAAAATAAACTTACTTTTTATGTTATTTTAAACTGTTATTACAGTTCATTTATTTATTTTTGGTATGTACATTATTATAAACTTTCAAAAATGTAAAAAGCGTTTACTTTACTTACTATATTTTTTGTAAATTTTTTTATAGTAATAATTATTATTTATATAGAGGTATAAAATTATAATTATTATTCACAAAAAGAAAGATTTATTCCAAAACATTTATACATTACCATTTTCAAATATCTCCGAACAAAGAAATCAAGGGGAGTCAAGTTGGGAAACCATGGTAGCCATTCTATGGCATCTCCTCTGCCAATCCATTTACCAAGATAACGTCTAATGAGCCAGCCAAATTCTAATGTTACGGAACTCCATCTTGTTGAAAGTGTACATTTTCTTCGTCTTACCAGCATGTCCCCTTTGTCATGTACTTGACTCTTCAAAGAATTTTTGCAAAATTAGGATATTTATTAATTCTTTGGGACATTAACTCGCAGAAGGCAACTCTCCTATTCTAATTATTGTCTTCTGCCAAATTGCTGTAAAACGTGTACCTTGTATGGAAATAATTTGTTTTTTTTTAGAATTTTGTGAACTGACCCGGAAGATACATTAGTCAATTTGGCGACCGTTGGAATTAATGACGTAGGATTGCAGAAAATTGTAACTTTTTAGCGCATCTTCCAACTCATGTGGGAAGACGCTATTATGACCACTTTCTCCCACTGTCTGCCCGTCGGAGACCTTAACCTCAACCTTAACTACTACAGTTTTCAAGAGATTTAATTCGTTCTTTTTGCATTCGGTAGCTTATAGCTTTGGCAACCCAACCAAAAAAAATCTTGACGATTAATGTGCGCATGTGCAGACTGCGAGATGTCAACTTTAGTAAAAGCAAACATATTGCATATTTTAAATATCAAGTGTGTGCGAATGCGCAGACTGCGAAATGCTACGTTTTTTAATTTATAAGAATATTTAGGTATACCTTAACATATTTTTCTTTGTACACATAAATAGTCTGAATTCATGGAAAATGTGAAAATCTTTTTTTCTTTTTTTTATTACAGTTGCACTGAACAAGGTGTCAGTACTGTACCAAGGGTATAAAGTGTATCACCAGGGAACACACCTCCCAACAGCACACAAAATTTTTAAAATTTGTGTTCCTTTTTTTCGCTTTTCTTAGTTTTACACTTTGATCCTTGACTAGCCAAAGCTCACACAACGTTTGCTCAATTTTAGCGGTCATTTTGGACTAGGAAGAACCGGCCTTGAGCCTTGATCTACACCACAGTTTGATTTAGGAAGCGATTAAATGCATTGATAGATAAACAGAAAATTGCGTTTGTTGGTAATCATGGACACTACTCAGGCCACTATTTATGTACACATGTAAAAAAATTGTAATCCAACTTTCATGTTTGTGGCCGAATTTTTCTGAAATTTTAACAGAAGCTGTTACTATTATTTATAAAAGCAAATTGTGCGTCCATCTAAAAAACATGAGCCGCGCATGCGCTTACTACCCAACTTGATTAATTTATTTTAGGTCGAAAACTAAAAACGAGTTTGGCGTATGTAACTAATTTTTTTGTTTCATTTTTTCTGTGCAGTACACTGATCACTTTGTCGCCCTTATTAAGTCATATTTAACAAATAGAACTTTGTATGTTACTTACAATGGCTACCAGTCCAACAAGTATATAGCTACCTCTGGAGTTCCCCAAGGTTCTAACTTGGGTCCTCTATTATTTCCCATATTTATTAATGATTTATGTGAAGTAATATCCTCGACTGTACTACTGTTTGCCGAGGATGTAAAAATCTACTCATCAATTTATACAATTTCTGATTGTATTACTCTTCAAAATGATTTGTTTGCAATCTACAATTGGTGTCGAATAAATTACAATTAAATATAGACAAATGCAAATCTATGTCGGTAACGACAAAAGTACATAAAATTGATTACAAGTATACAGGGAATTGTATTACTTTATCCCAATGTATACGTACGCGCGTTCTGGGAGTGTTATTTGATAAAGATTTGTCATTTAATGATCATGTTACAGAATCTGTTGCTTCTGCGTACAAAATGTTAGGCTTTGTAATAAGAAGCACAAGAGACTTCCATAATATAGATGTTATAAAGCTTTTGTATTTTAGCTTAGTTCGTCCTCGACTGGAATACGCCGCAATTATTTGGTACCCCCACTATAAATATTATAAAAGCTTAGTTGAAAATATCCAAAGAAAATTTTTGAAATATTTATGGTTAAAGCAGTTTGGTGCGTGCCCCTGTCAAGGCTTTGACCATGGAACATTATTGAATAGCTAAAATGACATCTTGCGAATTTAGGAGAATTATAATTTGTCTTACTTTCTTATATAAATTACTAAACAATATTACTGATTGTCCTCAACTTAGCATGTATTAATTTTAGTGTGCCTAGGCTTAGTAGTAGACAGTTTGATGCATTTTATGTCTCCCAATCTCGTACAAATTTACTACCTAGAGCTCCTGTCGATTTAATGTGCTCTAGATACAATCTTATCTGTGATTTAGTTGATACCCACAACGACTCTATAAGTCACATCTTTATAGAATCTGCTAAGAATGTATTTGTACTTCATTAGAGTTTTTTGAAATTTTCAAATTTTTTGTTTTTGTCAATTGTATTAAAATTAATTAGATTTAATTTACTATATACTTAATTTTTCTTAAGCATTATGGTTAGCATGCTATAGCTTATGAAGGTTTTGTCCTGTTATTGGTCTTATGCTGTTGGGTAAATATATGTTAATATTATTATTATTATTATTATAAAAGGATGGGACTAAGGATTTTACCTAGGTTTTGGGGATTTTCTTACGAGTTTGTACAATTTTTCAGAAATTCTTACTCCAAGATGGCGTACCCCTAAATGGAGTTGGCATTTGGGATCTTGGTACCTTTCAACTTAAAAATATTGAATACATACTTAAATTTGAATGCAAATGTAAACTGTACTTTTTACCTGACATCAAAGAAATAGAAAGATTTCAAATTAGTCTGGCGCGTAGAACGTATGGCAAATATGACTTTACTTTGATTCAATGCATACACGACCACTTTTAAGCGACGCAAGCGCATGTAACAAAAAACTAGATCCCCACTGTGACTCAATTTTTTTTACATGCTTCTCTGCATATCATTGTTAAATATTCCAATAAACATAAGCTCATGATACCTACTTTGTATTATATAGAAGAGCTATTTTTAATTCATTTATTTCAGAAATAATGCAAGAAGTGATCAAACACAAAGGGCCTAAGAAAAATGGACCAATTAAGCATGGAACTACGGAATGGAGAGTGTTAGTAGTTGATCAATTGGCAATGAGAATGGTTTCGGCTTGTTGTAAAATGCATGATATTTCTGCCGAGGGAATCACATGTATGTAATTAATTTCTTGATATCATTGATGTTGCATATTACTATTTTGGTGATATATTTTGTAGCACCAATATACAGTCAGTGCTCAGTTCCATACAAAAGAACTCCATTTCCAATAACGTTTTTTTTAAATTAATTCCATTTGCAATTTCCATAATTATCTTTATATTTTATTAATTTCATGCTTTACCGATAGTGGTTGAAGATATTGCCAAAAAAAGAGAGCCGCTTCCATCGATGGAAGCGATTTACTTAATCACACCCTGCGAAAAGTCAATTCATTTACTTATGAATGATTTCGAGACCCCCCGCCCTATGTATCGTGGCGCCCACGTATTCTTCACAGAGGGTAAGTATTTGTGCATCGAAATTCTTTACGTGACATTTTTTCTTTTTTTTAATTTTGGTTTTCTTCAGCTTGTCCTGATACCTTGTTTAATGAGCTAAGCCATGCTCACGTTGCCAAGTATATTAAGACCCTAAAAGAAATCAACATAGCATTCATTCCTACTGAGCAACAGGTATCTATTTACTAATGGTAAAATGAAGCTTTTGCTATTAAATGTATAATTCTTGTCATGCTTTGCCAAATTTTAACAATTACTAATCAATGCAATACTTTTGTATGGTGTTAAAGGCGGACGCTAACATTACTGTTTACACAAAGCTACATTCTATTAACAAACACTTTCCTGATTCACAATTTATATTATCGATGTCTCATAATGACTATCACATTGGGATATGAGACGCCAAGTGTGCAAATATAAACCTTATGAAATGTATACAAATGTTTTAGGTGTTTAGATATAAAACTTTAAGCAGATATGTGAAAAACTCCATTAATATACTTTCTTCATAGATATACAGGGTGGAAATTTTGTCTGGAACACTGAATACATCTTCAAAAAGACTAGATCAAATGTTGTCTTGAAAATCACTCAACGCCGCTTTGTAGAGCTCAAATAGTGGCAATAAGAAAGTGCATTTTATTTTTTTGTATCTGTTCAAAAACGCCAGAAAAAATAAAAACTAAATCTGCATTTCTGGCATATCTTCGGACCTTTTTGCGTGAGTTTAAAGTTTTATCTGGTTAGATGTTTATAAGAAGTTGTTATTGGACAAGAATTAAGTGGTTCTTCGGCAAACAATGTCACATATGAAATAAGCGACGCAAGTGGTTGTCAGTTCTGGTGGCGTAAATGGAATTTTGAGTATCGTCCGGAATAACTGTATGTTGATTTTATTAGAGGAGGTGGTTTTTGCTTAAATAGCAAAAATTGAGTATAGAGCTGTTTTGGTTTATTTTGAAAGAGCGTATTTGTCTATGACGCTAAATTTGGTATCAGTAGCCGAGCCGCCTGTACAATTTTGAACATAGAAAACGTAATCCTTCTCATATTAGTTAAAGAATGTAAAAACAAGTTTAATGTTGTGAAGAAGTTTTTACTATTGGAATTTTGAGTTTAAAAAGTTTGTGTTTATCAAGAATGAGGAAATAATTGGTCTAAGTTTTAAGTGAAGTTTGGATCTTGTTGTGTCGGAGCCCAGTTTGTGGTCTGAGTGAGAATTTAAAACGGAAAAAAAAACTTAATTGTATACTTTTAGGCAGCTAGGTAATTGTCCGTTGAGTGTATAGTGACATCATTAAAGTGGGAGATACCCACACCTACAATACGAGGGGTAAGGACAACATTTCCACAAGGAAGCACCACCACTCTTTCTATAATAAATCCCCCTATATGATGGGTTCACAATTGTTTAACTTGTTGCCGTTAGAGTTCACCACCTGCAACCAACAATCATTTAAAAATAAAATATCCTACAGGATAACACGTTTTATTCTGTCAAGGAATTCACAGAGTTCATGACGGCTAGATTCACTTAAGCAATCCACTTGCTAATTTATTTATTATATGTTCACTCAATGTTGTTCGTACCTGCACGTACAGTTTGTTATTTTTTCACTCTGTATGACGTTTCAATGGCTGTGATGCACAGTTTCAAGAATAACGATCTTATTATTATTATTATACATTGCTCACAGCATGTCCATTTGACTCCACAAACGTACACCACTGACCAGACCAGATTCAGTGTTCTAGGCAAGTTTTCCATCCTGTCTACTTTCCCGCGCATCCTTTCCGTCTGATATTGCGGTTGACAAAAATCACGGGGGCAATAGCCAATAGTACATTTATACCACTTGCATGTTAGTAAGGGAGGTATTGCATTGGGGTGAAAAATGGCCCCCAGTTTTAGAGGAAATAACACGTTTTGCAACACTGGGAATTTGAATCAAACAACATCTCGATGGTGTCTGTCTGCCTGTCTGTATTTTTATTTCCGACTAAACGACAACCGATTGGAACCAAACTCGGTACACATTATCTTAGATATAAAAGGAAAATCTGAAAAGCTTTTGGCCAGAATCGCGCATACGTAGACGTGCGAGTGGTATCTGTTCTAGCCACAGGAAATTTATTTATATAGGGTGTAGAAACAGTTTAGGCACCATAAGGATTTCAATGCTAATTTCTTTATATGGAAACCAAGATGGAAACATTTTCTCCCCTAATTTAGTATTTGCGTAAAAATCGAATTTTTGTTTCAATAATTTCGTGGCACCAGTGATTCTTAGTAAAATCACTCGTACCATGAAATTACTGAAACAAAATTTAGATTTATAGCTATAATTCCAATTTATGATTTCCTTACTTTGGTGTAAAATAATAAGGGGAGAAAATATTTCGATATAAAGAATATAGCATTGAAATCTCTATGGTGCTTAAACCATTTCTACACCCTGTCTACGTTACTGTTTCCACAAGAAGAATATTTGAAACATTTTAGCTGGCGTTATGGGACTTCTGGTTTTGGATCTGGACCCGTTCTCGTAGCCCCACCTCATTAGCCCAAGGATATACCAATTTTTTTGTATCTACTATGCTCACGGTTTGTGCTTCTTTGGTTTAAAAAATATTTCAAAAAATGAAAGGAGGGGCCAAGTGGGCGCTTATCCAAAAAAGACAGACTGTGAGCATAAGAGCACAATTAAGCACAATCGAAGTATTGTGCGTACCATCGTTTCATTATGATAAAGTTTAATTTTTTGGAGGGTTAAGCGTTCTCTTAGCTCCTATTTGAATTTTTGAAATTTGTCTAAAACCGAAAAGGCGCAACCTGTAAGCATCAATGCACAATAGAGCACAATTGAGGCACTGGGTTTATTTTTGGGGTCAAATGGGTGTATAAGTGAACGGACCATAAGTAGTAACAGGTAGACTGACTGTCAACTGTTTTAGTGATACTATTAATTTATTAAAGGAGAGAAAAACAGTCAGACTCAGATTACACCTACACAAGGCAGTAAAAATGCACTGTGAACAAGTCTTCTGCAGAAAAATTGAGCGTTCGGAATTTATAGAAGTGGTGTCTATCTAGTGTAGTACAATCTTTATACAAAGTTGCACTAGTAAAATGTGCCATATTGAAGCAATTATAGTGTTTTTACTTCAAATTACTCCAATCTGCGTCTGACTTTTTACCTACCTCCTAGACATGGGCTTAGACAACTTCTTGACTTTCTATTTTTTCTTTGTGGTGGCGGTACTTGCATACTATGCTTTATAACCTCTTCCTTTACCACTACTCCCTTTAGGTAGATATGTGCAACTAGAAAACACCATTTACCTAACTTTTTTTGCCAGTACCAATAGCCAACTTGCACTTGCACAGTTATAACATAACTTTGTGTTTAGGTACTTTTACTTTTCACCTAATTAGGAGCCTCATTATATAAGTTGTCACAGAATAGATTAGCCAGAAAATCTAACCCGAATTAAAGTTAAATTTTTTAATGTAAGCAACTTGCATATCATAATAAAATTGTGACAGGCATACAGATAATCACTATCCCATAATCCCATTTTTACGGTGTAAATAAATAATTGATTTTTTTAATTGTATATTTTTAGCTGTTTCGATCTTATTTGTTAACCTCTACAGTCTACATTATTGAAACCTATTCACTTTTTAATTTTTTGTCAATGTTGCCATCTTATTAATTTTTTTCCGAATAATTCCACTAAGCAAGCCCCACTTTGTGATGAATTATACCTACCTTGTTTTTTGAAGTTACGAAATAAATTTGAGTAATAATGTTAATTCGAGTAAAGGGCAACACTTTGATAATGAGAAAGTGGGATTTAGTGATACAGGGTGTTCACAATGAACTGGTAACATTTTCGAATTTCAAAAGTTTTTCTTTTTTCAAATGGAACTACCACTATTTTATTTCGTTTTTCAATAGTCTTCTCCATTTTCTTCTACTTTCATAAGGGATGCTCTGTACCTAAACCACATAGATTTTAGGATATTTAGTATTTTTCAAAATACTTACCCATTAATTAATTACATGTTTATGCAACAGAGTAGGCAGTGATAATAAAAAACAAGAGTGGCCGAAAGTAAATAAGTGTCACAAATTAATTATTTGCTGCAAGTATACTCTCTGTTTCATATTACAATAAGATTTATTAAAAAAGTGAATTTCAAAAAAGATTGAATTAGTGCTTTTAATTAATTTTACTACAAAACAGAGAGTTCACTTGCAGCAAATTATTAATTTGCAACACTTATTTACTTTTGGACATTCTTTTGTTTTTTATTATCATATCTGTAACTGGGCGCAAGCCTGGTGAGGGCGCAGAGCAACTTGGATAATAAATAAAAAATTAAATTAATTAATGAGTACGTACTTTTGTGAAAAATATTGAATAAGCTAAACTACGAGGTTTAGACACAGAATGTCCTTTATAAAAAGTGAAGGGACCTCAAAATACTATCGAATAGCGAAATAAAATAGTAGTAGTTCTATTTGAAATAAAAATAGTTATGGCACTTTGAAATTTGGAAATTTTACCATTTCATTGTGATCACCCTGTATCACTAAATCCAACCGTCTCGTTATCAGTGTTGCCCTTTATTCGGATTAACATTATTATTCAAATTATTCGAAAAAAATAAATGAGATGGTAACATTGACAAAAAATCAAACAGTAAATGGGTTTCCATGCAGAAGTTAACAAATGACATTGAAACAACTAAATAATATACAGTGTTTTATTTTAAAAAATTGGTTATGTATTTAAACCGTACAAATGGAACACCCTGTGCATTCAAAAATAATTTCTCTAGATGCGCATGTTCACTTGCTGTCGAAATATGGAAGAATGAATTATGTCAATAGGAAAGATTTATAACATTTATAAATTACTAAAATGCTCTCGTCAATTTTTGCCAAACAGATTACAAATAATTTCACAGCACAACTATCTATAGTTGACATTTTACCAGGTATGAGCTAGGAAAGACCGACCCACAGTTGCAGGACCCTGTAGTATGTTTATTGGTTTGAAGATTATTGCGTATTGCATTATTACGTGATCAACATATTTTTCATGAAAAATAATCCCGCGTGAAAAATAATATGCAGTTTTTTTTAATCTATTAGGATTTAACATGTATGGTAGATAGTCCAGGAAATAGAGACTGAAAATGGACCATTTCCTGCAAAACGAGAAATAGTTCCAATTTTTTTTTGCATGTCATGAAAGAATATCTGGTGGTTAAGAATCCATTTTTTAGTTTTTCAATCATATCTTTTTATAGGTTCATTTTACAAAAAAATATTTTTATCAGAAATTGTAGACTATACAATTCTACACAACTTTTATACACACCACTTTTTTGAAAAATGTTTATTAAAAACGATATCGAGAGTTGCTTATATTTTTAAGAATTCTGAAATTTCTATGTAGATGTTTTAACCAAATTTCATACTTTATCCCTATAATTCAGAGTTTTATGAGAAAATATCTTGAACTTATCGTTATATAAAGAGCGTTGAAATATCTATTCCTACCTTCCTACCGCGCGCGCGGGGGGGGGGGGGGGGTGAAACTGAACTGAAGTGGGACAAATTTTTTAATTTCAAAAGTATATTACAAAGTGCTACAATCTCACAGTGATTCAAATATCCTCACTAGCAAGGGTTGCAAGTTTCATTATTATGCATCCCCTTTGGTAAGGGTGCAGAGTAGAGGGATTTATACCACAATAAATTCAAGATATTTTGTCGTAAATCTCTTAATTATAGAGATAAAAGTATGAAATTTGGTTAAAACATCTACATAGAAATTTCAGAATTCTTAAAAATATAACCAACTCTCAAGCTCTATATCTTTTTTAATAAACATTTCACAAAAAAGTAGCGTATATCAAAGTTATGTAGAATTTTATGCTCAACAAGTTCTGATAACAATATTTTTTTCTAAAGTGAACCATTAAAAAGACATGATTGAAAAACTAAGAAACCAACCAAATTTCAGTGGTTTTGGGGGTGGTACGGGGGAAGCACAAGGGGTGGGAGGTTGAAAACTTAGATTCTTAACCACCAGATGACTGTCTATGACATGCAAAAGAAATTGGAACTACTTCTCATTTTGCAAGTTAAAACCCTCTATTCCCTGGACTAAGAGGAAAAGGAAGGATTTATGAAAAACGCCTCCCTGTCTGCGCAAACGCATTTCAATGTTTCTATTTAGTAAGATTAATACTTAAAATGTTTATTGCCATATTACCAATGAAAATGAATTCAAAAGATTACCCCAAGCGTTATGCGCATGCGTTTCAAAATTCGGTGTGCGCATGCCCAAATTACATGTATGGTACAAGTTGTTCTGCTTTAGACCTACAATATCCTCAAAAAGTGCATTTAATGTTTTTTCTATAACCAATTTTAACACTAACCACGTAAGGATAGGCAGAGTACCTTGATTTTTCCTATAGAAGATAATTCCATGAATAACTTCAGCGCCATCCACGGTCCCTCTCTACTTTAGATGGTCAGACGTTATAACGACCAACTTTACCAATAACACCACAACGATAGCCAATTTTTAGTATTATTTCATGGATGGTTTTGTGCGCAATAATGAAAAAAACTGCATGTCATAATATTGATGAAAAGAATAATCTTACAACTTGTAGATGGTGACTCACAGAGGTTTTGTGCAAACCAACGATTCACTTTTTAATTCAAACTGATTATTTTTATTACATTATTTTAACGCTTAAGTTTATCCACATTTCTATGCACGTTTATGGTCCAAATACTGCAATTATAATTTGATCCCACTATGAAACATTTTGCGTACATACTTTTACTCTCTTTTAATTGATGAATATATTACGTATGCAGTGTATGTAGAGAACCCGGAAACACCCTTGAAAAAATTAATGAATCAGATAGGTTTGCAAAAACCAAAGTGTGAGTGTATTTTGAATATTGATTTCTCGTTTCCATTAGAAGGGTGCTCCTGGGATTAAGATGACAACTTTTATATTGTCATTGTGGATGAGTCATTTCTTAATCTTTTCTATTTCTTCTGATAGTCTGCCCTGAGGAACTTTTCAATGAATTGTGCAAATCTTGCGCCGCTAAGAAAATAAAAACATTAAAGGAGATCAACATAGCCTTCTTACCTTATGAATCACAGGTGTGTGAAGTTGTTTGCATGTTTAGCTTCTATTCTTTTCTCTTTATTTATGTAGTAGTGGAGTAATGTATGATATTGTCTATTTTCACATTTTTATTATAGGTATTCTCGTTGGATTCTCCGGGAACATTTCAATGCTTTTATGATCCATCACTTGCCGCCGCCAGAAATGCGAATATGGAAAGGATGGCGGAACAAATAGCTACTTTGTGTGCTACGTTGGGCGAGTACCCTTCAGTCCGTTATCGAAGGTTTGTTTGCACTTACTGCGATGTGGGATAATGAAAGTCATCGTTTTTAGTGATTGGGAACGAAATGTTGAATTGGCACAATTGATTCAACAGAAATTGGATGCGTATAAAGCCGACGAGCCGACAATGGGTGAAGGTCCTGAAAAAGCCAGATCTCAATTGCTTATTTTAGACAGGGGCTTTGATTGTGTTTCGCCTTTACTCCATGAGCTCACCTTCCAGTCAATGGCTTATGATTTATTACCTATCGAAAATGATGTATATCGGTAAGTTAAATACATTTTTAAGGATTACGTAGTGTATTATTCAAATGACACAGCTATGAGGCTTCCGCTGGTGCTGTTGAAAAAAAAGAGGTGCTATTGGACGAAAATGACGAACTTTGGGTTGAGCTTCGTCATCAACACATTGCAGTAGTGTCGCAGAGTGTAACAAAGAATTTAAAGAAGTTTACCGATTCAAAACGTATGACACAAACAGATAAACAATCCCTAAAGGATTTGTCCCAAATGATTAAGAAGATGCCTCAATATCAAAAGGAGCTGTCCAAGTATTCTACTCATTTGCATTTGGCAGAAGATTGCATGAAAGCATACCAAGGTTATGTTGACAAGCTATGCAAAGTTGAACAGGTTAGTTGTGAATATTTCTAATCGGAAGTTTGATCTTATTTGTGTAGGATCTCGCTATGGGAACAGATGCGGAAGGCGAACGAATTAGAGATCACATGCGTAATATCGTGCCAATTTTGTTAGATCCCAAAATTACGAATGAATACGATAAAATGCGTATAATCGCTTTATATGCACTCGCCAAAAATGGAATTACAGAGGAGAACTTGTCAAAATTAGCTACACATGCGCAAATTAAAGACAAGCAGAAGATTGCAAATCTTCAGTATCTTGGCGTGAATGTTATTACAGATGTAAGTCATCCTTGTTGTCACTTTTATTTCAGCCGTTATTGTAGGGCAGTAATCGCAGAAAGCAGTATACGGTTCCTCGCAAGGAACGCATCACCGAGCAAACATACCAAATGTCTAGATGGACGCCAATCATTAAGGATATAATGGAAGATTGTATAGAGGACAAACTTGATCATAAACATTTCCCATTTTTGGCCGGAAGAGCTCAAACTTCTGGGTATCATGCGCCCACAAGGTAAATATGTGCACACAATATCATCAACATTTGGTAACAACCCAAATCTGAAACAAGTAGATTTTCAGTTAGGGTAATTTGCATTGTTAATGCATTGGCAAAGTCGGTTCAAGTGTGTGCTGTTGTAAAATATGCAGAAACCAGTCGATTAGTTAATTACTTGAATAACTTTAAAATCAATTGATTGTTTAATTGATCATCTTTTTGATTTTTGGTTATATAATTAAACAATTATTTGAGATACTTTACTTACAAATAATTGACAGGCAATTGAACTTACCTGTGAAATTTGATAGCAGTGTGCACCAAATCCTAGTCATGTTTAAAAGAAGGTTGAATGGATCCCTCATTATATACAGGGTGTTACATATAAGTATGTAAAAAAAATTGAATGGGAGAGGGGATCAAAACAAGCATTGTTTCCAAATAAACCAAGGGTACAACGTGTTTCGTTTGGGAGCTACTCCCAAAAAAGTGGTGAAATTTGCATTTCTTCTTTAATTTTTTTCTCAGTAACCATAAGAGTTGGTGGCATGGCTTTGAATAGGTTTTTGAGTATGCACGAACAGTGGCGGCTCGTAAGCTGCGTAGAAGGTAGTGCCAAATTGTGTCCCCCTCCCCATTATTGTAATAGTTACAAATTTTTGTTTTCATATTATTCCAGTTATTTAGATTTTGAGTATAATTCGAATATTTATAATGCAAGTGACGGAAACAAATCTAGCCCCTTTAATTTCTTTGGAGACTTGTTTCAAGTATACTTCAAGTATGCATTCCAGTAATTCATTTTGTGTTGTTTTAGATGAGAATTAGCGGATTTTTTTGACAAAAAATCGTATGGAGTGTTACTTTTTTCACGTTTTGTACTATCCGTTTCCATGGCGTTTAGTCCGATCTATAAACAATAGCAACATTTTATTTGCAGTTTTATTAATGAGGCCGAAGTATCATTTTCAACAATAGTTGTACAAATAACTATTCAAATCTTTATCTAAACAAGTACTGAAATTTATTAATTCTCTGAATCCCTACTCCTTTATTTTCGGATTTATCGCTATTGTCCTGTCCTCTTTCAGACGCATTTCGTTTTCTAACAATATTTAAGTCCGGTAACGGCCTGCTTAATTGCTTTATTTAAAGTCTATCTTCCAGAGAATGCATGGAAAAAGGTTTATTTAAATGATTTTTTAATTTGTGTATTTTACGTAACAATTAATCCGGGAAGTGTAATCTTACACAGAAGTAAAAAAAATTGACTTATCACGACTGAAACAAGGAAAACGGCGCAAAGCATACTTAATACACGTACACATTATTCTTGTGTTATTGTATTATTGTGCTTATGAGCCAAACTTCTGATGGCTCAAGTTCTATGTATAAAACGCTACTTCGGTTTCGCTCCTCCCACCCCTCTACTCCCCGCGGAAGTCCACACTTGTAGGAAAATACAAGCCAGTTTCAGTTTGGCACGGCTCGACCGTATTTGAAGTCCACGGATAAGCACAAATGAATTCTTCTTGGTACCTAATTTATCAAATCATTTACTTTTTTGTTTTAAGTTTTAAAGCACAATTATGTACTCTAGTGAGCACAATTAATAATAGTTAATTATATTTTAAGAATTGATAATTAGCAGGTTCCTTGAGGTGGTGCCATGGCTCCTTGGCTCTGGATAGAGAGCCGCCCCTGTGCACGAAAGGGCGCATCCCTAAATGGGAGTGCTAAAAAATGTTTGATTTTGACGCAATTTGGTATTGGGGGTTTTTGAACATAAAAATCACGAATATGAAATTAGTTTTTGAAAATTCGAAAAAAAAATTCCACTGCAATTCTTCACCGGACAACGAAAATGGAGAGAATGCCACGAAATTCGTTGTGTACATACTTGATGAGTTAAGGAACAAAATTTTTTTGAACAGTTTTTAAAAATCACTTTTCAAACAAAACTTTGAGGTTTGGGCCTACGGGTCACAAACTGTCCCCCGCCTACTAGTGAGTGATTTCATTTCGCATGTAGTTAATTGAAAATGTCGCAAATAACAAAAAAATAACGATTTAAGTCGATATGATGATTAAATGAACATAAAAAATTCGATATATGGTATTGAAGTCTGCAAATTCGATTCCAAAAAGATGTAGATTTTGCGTGGCTGCGGGTGGTGAGAAAGTAGAGTTCCATTACAATCAAGAAGCATTATTCCAAGTGTCATAATATTGACTCAGATTATTATTTTTCGTTATTTGCGATATTTACAATTAACTATATGCAAAATTACATCACTCACTAGTAGGCGTGGGACACTTAACCTTAACTCATCAAGTGTGTATATGTTACCGTCAAAACCCATTGAAATTAAAGCAAAACCTGATATCAGTAAAAACCCAAATATCCTAGTTTTAACTATCTACTTTACACAATTCTAGTTTTACCTAGTGTAAACTAGAATTGACTAAAGCAGATAGTTAAAACTGGTTTTACCTAGGAAATTCGGGTTTTGGCGGTACAACGAATTTCGTGGAATTCTGCATTTTTAGTTATCTGGTCAAGAAATGCAATGGAAATTTTTTTTCCGAATTTTCAAAAACTAATTTCATGTTAAAAAAAACCCCCAGATCAAATTTGGTCGAAGTCAGAATTTTTTTCGCACTCCCATTTAGGAGTGAACCATTTCGTGGTAGGAATTTAAAAAAAATTGCAAAATCGGAAAGGACATACCCGAAAACCTATTCAAAGATGTGGCACCAGTCTTTCAAACTATAATGCTTGCTGAGAAAAAATTAATGAAGAAATGCAAATTTCGCCACTTTTTTGGGAGTGGCTCTGAAACACGGTGGAGCCTGGGTTTATTTGGAAAAAGTGCTTGTTTTGATTCCCTCTACGACCCAAATTTTTTTTACATACTTATATGTAACACCCTGCATATTATAGGTATTTCCATGTTCCATTTGGAATCTGCTAGAGGAAAAATTCTAATATTGACACTTCCAAAAAATTCCAAAGAATTTACTACACAACTTTTGATTAACACTGTTGGGCACAAAAAGAAAAATCTGACATGAAAGATTCTGTCCGTGTCCCAAAATGGATTCTAATAAACACACAATTGATTGACAATGACAGACATTTATTTCTAAACAAAAAATAAAACAAAAACCCTGCAAGAAAGTAAAGCTTACAAAGCTTGTTTTGACATATTACCCCACACGCAAGTGGGCGAAAAATAAAATATGAAAACCCTAAATTACTTACAGTTCTTTTTCTTAGTCTAAACAATCTGGTCGTCCAAGATTTGCGATATTCAGGCGTACTTATATCAAACAACAAAAACACTCGCTGACATCTTCAGGACACTTTATTAAACTGGAACTTTATAAATAAGATGTTTTGATTGCTGCTTGGACGGTAGAAACTTTTAATGATAGACTATCCTTCTTGAAAGGTTTCAACAAGCAGACAACTGTTTTGTTTACTCACAGTCGAACTAACTTCTGAATACAGACAGACCGTTTTAAAACCTTTCCACAAATTTTTACTTCTTCACTTGAGGATAACTTAAATCTTTTATTAAGATTGCTCAACTTCTTCTGCACACTATTTCGAAACCGACGAACTGCGTGTTCAAAAAAACAAATTTACACTCTGTTTTACTGTCGCGGAACTTGCAGCCTCGTTTTTACGTTATTTAAAGAAACACCACTTCCACCGTAAAATAAGCACCTTTCTTTATGAAAATTACAAACAACTCTCCAATCACAACGGAACACGCCAAACGTACCCACTTCTCTAAAATGAAACTTTTTTGTAACACATTTCTCTTCGTTATCTCCTGACAGCAATAAAACCGTGGGTTAATTAATTTTCGCCTGAAAAAGCTCCTTTTCGCAAACGACCAGATGTCCCTACATTTAAACACGCAATTTCACTTATACAATTAAATACACAAATCTAAATAAACAATTTGCAAAAGTGATAAAATTCAAATTAAAAATAATTATTCAATTACAAACAATTCCAAAAGGAAAAACAACACTGAGACACATATTCATATACAATAAACCAACTTTGTGCTTATTTCGTAAATAATCCGCCTAGAATTACTTAGTAAATTGAAATATTATCATATACAGCGTGTCCTGTCATTATTGTTGATGTTTAGATCGAAATAACGTTTTTATGACATTGTTTACACAGCATTTCTGAGCGTTTGCTGGGTAGCTACGTTGTGAGGCTTTTGTGTACTTGGCTTCAAATTCGGACACGTTATACTACCTCCCTGTGACAGATTCCAAACCGTTTCTCTGAACGGTGAAAACTGTTTTTTTCATTTATTATTCATGGTGATTCACGCTGCTCGTTCGTTAGGCGGTTTTATCGTCCATTGCGAATTGAAATAAAATAATTTCAAGATGGCGCCTTTAGGATACAGCAGAAGTGGCGGCCTCTTGTTTTTTTTAAATACAAACATCCTATTTTCTATTATTTTAATGCGTTATTTTATTCTGAATTCAACGCAATTAAGATTTAAGTACCGATCTTTCATACTTTTTGACATGCCCATTTTCCTATAAAAATTTCAATATGCTAGGGCCCATTCAAAAATTCATATCTCTTTAACCATTCAAGATAAGTGAGTGTTCTTTTTATAATCTAATCCAGCGGTTCCCAATCTGTGGTACGCGTACCCCTCAAGCGGATTTTGGGGGTAGATACGCAAAAAATATCAGTAATAGCGGACATGATATTTTAATGTTATTGCGTCGTAATGGCCGTAATTCATTCGATATATGTGATACAATTGTACTAACAATAAAAAAGTTTCTCGCGTGGGGAATTTTGCTCTGCGCGGATAATTAATGCGCGATTTTGTAGACCCTGTTAAATCTACACTAATACCAGATAAGGCATTATATACACATAATTGGAGGCGCATATCATTCTAGTTTAAGACACCGAAAGTATTATAGCGATATCGTTCCTAGAAATAGTAATATGATGGTGGAAATATAGAAAAACACGGATTTACTTCGTCGTTTTATCTTCAAACACTTTAAACCTTAACTCATTATTTCCAGTTTTACTAAAAATTAACAAACACCATAATTTAATTGCCTGTACCATTGACCAGCTCTCATTGAAATTTCGTGGCTCTATGTTAAACGGATTCAGAGTAAAAAAATAAATAGTGGAGCCGCGCACGGATTTTCCATTAGCCGTAATGTATTTAATGTGTCCCGAACTGAGACTTTTTCGAGCGCTCTGCCCTGTAAGTATCATAGGTCTCTGTGCAATCCATGAGTTGTCCAGTTGATGGAGCAGGGTCTCAGTTTGTTGGATTAGTAGATGAGGTTGAGTTAACTGGCCATTTACTAACTATTTACTAACTAGCCATTGGCTAGTTTACCAAACCTTACATTTTTTTTTCAAGCAACACATGCAGAAAACCATAAGTAGTTATACTAGAGTAACCCAAAATGATTTTAACTTTAACCTTATTAACTATTAGCTGATCAGTTTGAGAGGACTCTTTCTGATCAGTTTTTTTTTAATTTCTACATCACACTGGCAACACAACACATCAAATTTAACCAAATTTGTCACACTTTTAGTATTAATACACATATTGTTTTAGTGTACGATATGGTCACTGGCATAAGGACAAAGGTCAACAGACAGTAAAGAATGTACCTAGATTGTTGGTGTTTGTCGTCGGTGGAATATGCTTCTCGGAAATTCGCTGCGCATACGAGGTAACAAATGCTGTCAAGAATTGGGAGGTGATCATCGGTTCGTCCCACATACTTACGCCTGAACTTTTTCTAAGTGATTTGGCCACGTTAGGAGGCTAGAACAACGCGAAGAAAGTTTCTTTTTATATACCCTAATTTCTGTAGATAATTGCTTTTTAGTTTCATTGAGTTATTCATATTCGGTTTGATAGTAATTTATTGTTAATAAATTTGTAAAGATATTAATTTATGAGATGTTAAATCATTTTACTTATACCGTTTTAGCAGGTGTTAATAACATTTAGGGCCTGATAAGGAGTCTGAAGCTATTATTAATTAATTGATGCAAGATCAAATACGCAATTGAAGCAGCCTTTCTGCACATACTTTTCGAATTATTCATGAACAACAGTGGACTAAGCGGCATCTTGCTTGCACTGCCACTTTCAAACGGCTTAAAAGTGAGATATTTCAATGTGATTTTATTTTATAACTAGCTTTTTCTTAGTCTTATTCGGTAGCTTTCCTAAACTTTTGTACAGTAATAAGTTTCTAGGTGTCTTCGCTGAATTAAATAACGAGAAAAATGCAGTCCTTCAGGTACATAGTATATTTGTAATTAAATCTCTCTCTCCCTCTCTGTAGCTTAGGGTGTAGCATTGTTATTAGTCATTCAAATGTTTACATTGTAGCTAAGTTTTTGTTTTTAATCTAGTATTAATAAATACCGTTAAAAAATCATATCTATAAGCGATGAATGTGTCATTTTATAGTTTAAGAAAATATAGTGTGTTACATTATTTATATATTATAAAAGCTTGACATTTAGAAGTATTCAAAGAGAGTCAAAGTTAATAAACGTTCATAATCAATAATTGTTTATCTTGTTAGAATAAAGTGGGAGGAATTTTTTTATTTCTGAAGAAAGCAAGGGAGAGAGTTAATATCAGGGGGTATAGTTCTGAAGGTAACACCAAAGAGTACCCACAGCGTTATGGTATGAACTGATGTAGGCTATTATAATTCGCCCGCTAGGATTGCAAAAGCGCACCCTCGTGTAGAAGTAGCCAGACCTAACCATCAAAATCTACAAATGCTCTTCAAAATCGCTTAAAAATCTCTTCAAAATCTGTAACTTCTCAATCTCTTCAAAATATTTTAAAAATCTCTTCAATAAAATTTTTTTCAAAAGCTCTTCAAGATCTCATTAGAATCTCTTCAAAATTTCTTCAGAAGCTCTTAGAAACCTCTCAAAATTTCTTCAACATCTCTTCAAAATCTCTGCAGAATCTCTTCAAAAGCTCTTTTAAATCTCTTCAAAACCTCGCTAGAGTCTCTTCAAAATCTATTCTGAATCTCTTTAAAATCTCTACAAAATCCTTCAGAACTTCTTCAATAAAATCCCTCAGAACCTCTTTAAAATCTCTTCAAAATTTGCACAAAAACTCTAAAATCAGAATATCTTTTCTGAAATCCTTCACAATCTTCATAATCCCTCAGAATGTCTTCAAAATCAAGATCTCTACAATTTCTCTTCAGAAACATTACAAAAGCTCACTTCAAAATGTTTTCAGAATCTCTGTAAATTCCTTGAAAACTTCTTAAACATTTCTTCAAAATCTCTTCAAATTAAGCAAAATATATCAACTGAGATAAGACGTGTATTCATACATTTGCGGAATGGCTAATTTTAACGACAGGTTGCTGGTAGCTCAAATGAGGACGAAACAGTCGTCTCGAACCCGAAAGATGAAGCATGTGTACATGAGGCGTGGTTGAAAAGGGAAATGGAGGGAGAATTTTCACTACGCACCTATTCACACGAGGATAGCAACAAAAATTGTTCCTACTAGTTACAATTTCGGTTAACTGTTGTTGCACTTACCCTTAATTAATCAAAATTTTTCTGAAGCTCACTGTTTGTTTGTTGTCTTTTGAAGGGAGATTCATAGCATATTGCACCTCACAGGTCATACTTTTTTCTAACTCGGTACTGTCGCAGTGCGAACGAGATTCCTTTGACATTTTTTTTAAAATTTTATTGTCTCATAGGCTAATTATTTGGGTACATCCCACTTCTGATGTAAAAATGCGATAGATATAGGATGGGGTGAGGTAGTGTGCTACCTTTACAGTTTACACGTTACACCCCTGAATTTTCAACTGGTATGAAGTCTCCTACATGTGAAGACCGCGTGCCCTTGCGCATCCCTGGTGAATGAAAGCTGATGCTTTTAGCAAACCACAGTAACACGCTTTATGTTCACCCTACTTGAAGTAGGTAGTCAATTTATTTTTTTCGATGACGTGGAATTTCAGAACTGTAAATTACTGGGAGTTGCAAAAAGAAAATAAGTCTAGGGCAAGGGTCCATTTACTACGTAGGCCCCCATGGCAGGCCCAAAGTATTGCTCAAAAGTAATACAGTGGATTTTCATAAAAAAATGTCCAAATATTGGTACAAATTATGTAATGCACATGTAATACATACAGGGTCATTCTTGAAGAGCGTCAGTTAGAAAGATATGGAGAACCTTTGAAAATGAAACTGTACTTATAAATCCTATATGGGTTTTGACCACAGAGTTGTATATACAACCCTGTGGTTTTGGCACATGATGAATTGAACTAAAATATTTTCAAGATGGCGCTACTTCCGCAAATATCGAAAGTAGCCATCAACTTTGTTATTTTAAATAGGGACCCCCTATGTTTTCTACATTTTCGGATTCTACGTAGAATTTGGAGTACAACGATACCCCACTTGGCCCTTTCCTCCAAGGGCTTCGTCGATATTAAAGAAAAAATGAATTTGCAGAAGTAATTTTAAAAATTTATTATTCGAAAACGGTGAGAGATATTGCAAAAGTTTTCACTGCTTTATTAAGGAAAGATCGAATTTTCTTATGGTACCTATGCGTAACCGTCTAAAAAAGTGAGACTACGTCACTTTTTCAAAGCTCTCAACTTTTAAATATCCATAACCACATTTTTTTAAATAGCCCCTTCATTGTTGTTTTCCTTTTTCCGAGACCTTTAATTTGATAGAATATGTCAAAGGCTGCTACAAACCGTTTCCGAAATATTGCATATTTTAATTACTTCTTGTAACAAATTGATACAAAAATTAAGTATCTTTGTACTCCAAATTCGACATAGAATCCGAAAATGTAGAAAATAATAGGGGGCCCCTATTTAAAATAACAAAGTTGATGGCTACTTCCGATATTTGCGGAAGTGGCGCCATCTTGAAAATATTTTAGTTCAATTCATCATGCGCCAAAAAAAACTTTAGCTTCATTTTCAAAGGTTCTCCATATCTTTCTAACTGACGCTCGTTAAGAATGACCCTGTATAGATTTGAACTATGCTTGGTTTGGGGGCTGTTTTAAGAGTAATTATATAGCAGGGGTGGTCAAACTTTTGACCTGTAACGTCTTACTTGTGTTCACAAAAAAAAACTTGAGATCGACTGTAAGCTGGGAGTTTACAAGAGAGAAATAAAATACTGTTGTAAGAATAAATATTTACTAAAAATGGTTTCAAAATTAGAAATTATTTGTTCATTTTTGGGTAGATGTTTTACACTGCATATTCTCCACAATATTTTCTTATTAGGGAGAGTACTGCAATGCACAAACAAGATGAATGGGAGTCTGTTAAATGGGAACGATGATTGGTTTTTCTTTTTCTAGCATAGAATTGTACACCAACAAAGATAGGTAGAACGAAAAAATGATGTCACTATAAAGCTACCTTCCCTAGACACGAGAACTTCAGTTTACAAAAATCTGTGCTACTAAACATCTTTCAGAAATATGACTTACCCTTATTGTTACCTTTGTATGTTGTGATCTTTTTTCTAATCAATTCATTTATCATCCGAGGGCTACCTTATTCAAGGTTGTTTTATTAGAAAGGTTGTCTGGTAACTCTAAACCAATAGAATGCTTGCATTTTGAAGGCGGGAAAACGTCATCCAGAATTCACATTTAAAATTGCTCATAGGTTACAATGCTAATAAAAGGGGTAAAAAATTTAGTTTTTGCAGTATATTTTTGGATTTACGAGTATATGGGTATATTATATTAGGGTGGATCTTATATTGGAAATCTTGGATGTTTATCGACCTCAACCTTTGAAAGCAAGCAAAGTATTGAAAAAATGAGTGTTGTGCGTAAGCTATTTTACATTGCACGAGGACTTGTGAAAATGTAATCAAATTAATTTTAGAGGTGGAAATGGATAAAATTCCGCGATCTACAAAATAGGAACCACCCCTATGTATCAATACCTAGGCTTTGAGAATTAAAACTCTAAACATTCTTTAGCAGATGACGCCAAATAAAATGCTTTTGCGTTTTATGGAATATGTATATTTATAGTATGTACAAAATGGTAACCGAGGTGCACACGGTGAGCTCTGTCGTTGGGGTGAGCCCAGATGCAGGTCTTCTGACTGATGGAGTGTGGCGCGAGGGTCGAGCTGGCAAGGCGACCTGGTTCTGCAGGTGGAAAAGCTTTTTGTTTCTTGAAGTGCAGTCGAAGCAGAAATTGCGTTGCACTTTGCAGAGTTCGTGGCTCTGCTTTTAAACGTTTGCGGCCAGGGACGCTAAGCTTTCATCCGTTGGCCGTTTTGACCAATGGGAGCCCAGTACATTTTAGTTTGGTGCCGGATGTGAAACATTTTCTTACCCATTCTTTAAGAAAGGTAGGGTCCTTGGGAAACGTAAAAACTGAGATTTTATTTACACCAGGATGAGGAATTTTAGTGTTACCGCCACTCATCTAAAAAAATACTTAATTATAACATACAAAAGTGCATATAATTGATGAACTAACCTTTCAATCACGGCTATGAAAACCCACAGAATTCACAAACTAAATGTCTTTATATTGCACCAAACAGGTATCTACAGCTAATATATGTCCTTATGCACTTCAAAATTCAACAAATTTTAAACAAATAAACTATAACTCAAGAAAAATAAGCACCCGCGCGACTACAAACAACGTTGAACGTCAATGTCTGAATTCTCGATGACGTATACATTCCGTCCCTCCCGCTTCCGCCCATATAGTTACCAGATAACCTTTGAAATAAAATAACCTTGTACCTTATTTACCCGGTCGACCTCTTGACCACCCTTGTTATATAGTATAGAATCTGTATTTCGTAAAATAACTGCATGCTGAGGAAAATTTATTTAGATTAAATAAAGCTTTATTGCAAACACATTACATTGAGATATTTATCAAAAGTGGTAAATTTAAATTAATGGTTAAACGAAGTGCGTGAAAAAATACTAGGCAGCTTGAATGTTATTACATCATAGGTCGGCCCATGCCTCTTCCAGGTGGAGGTGCATCGCCGGATTTTTGATTTTTAATGGTTTCATCCACAGAAAGTATCAAGCATGTTGCTTCGCAGGCTGCTGTTAAGGCGTTAACTTTAACAATTGCAGGTTCCCAAATGCATGCGACAAAATTGTCGCTAATATCCTCATTGTTGATGTCAACACCATACCAACAATTGCCCTGAGCATGTTTTTGTCTCAATTTGTTCAGAATATTCGTGGCATCGAAACCGGCATTGTCGCACAATTGCCTCGGAATAATCTCAAGAGCCTTTGCGATTGCCCCAATTAATAGTTGTTCCTTTCCAGCAATTGTACGGGAGTGATCTCGTAACATACGCGAGAGTTCCATCTCAATCGCGCCCCCACCGGCCACGATTGCGTCGTTCTTAATAGTCCTACGCACAATCATAATCGCATCATGTAAAGAGCGTTCAGTTTCTTCTAAAAATTGTTCGGCTCCGCCTCGTAGGATCATAGTGCAAGTTTTAGCATTTGGACACCCTTTAAATATGTTGTAGCGTTCTCCTCCTATTTGACACTCTTCAAATTCTGCACAACGTCCAAGGACTTTGTCATTCAGATCATGCACTGTTGATAATACTGCTCCTCCGCACGCTTTCATTGTACGTCTCAAATCATCCTCTTGAACGCGTCCGGCGCAAAACATGTCACTGAAATACAAAACAATAAATTACTATTCCCAATTAATCTTATACACTGTTCAAACGTGCAATAGTTATTTACATTATTAGTGCGGGATCAGTTATTTTGCAGATGTGTGCGAATCAAGCAAATACTGTTCACGCACGTAACATGTATTCTATTTTTTGCACGGATTAGTTAAATCGAATTTATATAAATTCAAATCCTTTTCGCGAGATTTTTGCGACATTATAATTCTATTGAAAAAATCAAGTCCTCTATGCCGATAAAGTAGAAATCTAGAAATTTAAAATGTCAATTTATTGTTCAAAACTTCTGGTTTAAGCTTATTTTTTACTCTTCCATCATAACGGGCGATCAAAAATGAGTTGCTGTCTAGTCGCCTTTGGAAGTTCAATTTAAGTATGATTTCCCATGCAAACAAAAATTCCAAAGGTGACACGACAGCAACTCATTTTTGATCGCATTGTACTACTTATTAATTTATGATCCGCACTAAATAGATAATTTCGTTGAATTTTTAGGCACTAGTGCGCGAAAGTAGATAGTTAATTATAAAATTGACGTTCCCGACGTTCGTGTTCTATTGGGAAAACGCGATTTAAAACGACGGAGTGCAAAAAACTATTTTTAAGACCAACACTTTTGTTGTGGAGAGCACATGGTATACCTGGTAGCATACAGAATATAACCACGTAACATACAACTACATAAAAAAAGATTGGGAGGTAGAGGTGGCATTTCAATAACAAATAATTATAAGCAAGCTATGGAATTATTAAGAAATACATTGCAAACTTGAATAATACAAGGTCGATTCCCAAATGAAATACAAATGTTTAGTATCCCTCTTCTTTTTAAGTAGCAACACACTCGCCCACCTACTTAATAGTTTATACAGGGCGTTACAAATTGTTGGTTAAATGGAGACAAAGTTGCACATTTTAATTCTGAATAATTTGTTAAAATGAAATTTAAAAAATTACTCTTACTTTCGGAGATATCTGAAGACGAAAAAAGCAATTTTCGCTTTTATTTTTTGATGACTTGATTATTTGGAAAAACCAAAAGCTGTTTCTCTTTTCTGGGCTACATAACAAAATAATATTACTTTTCCGACACTTGCTGTGTCTGAGAGTACTTGCTGAGAGAAATTGCTTTTTACAACTTACTTATATGTAAACGTTAGCGTAAGTTACTCTCAGAAGTACTATCCTGTATAAACTACCCTTTATTGTTATCTCTATTGTTTGTTGTCAAAGGCAAGGCACACTTGTTATTTTCCAATGCATACTCTTCAAATTTGAAAGAAACTTCAAAAGACACTTTACCATTTATGAACAGTGCACTCAAAACGTCAAAATTCGAAATAAAATTTTAATTGTCATTTGTTACTTAATAGATGGTATTATAATCTAGAAAATAGCAACATAATATCTTACCGATCTGCAAAATATTGTGTGGCAACGTCTCCAATCGGAAGTTTTGACAACACCACCTGTGCCCCCGACTCATGGATCTTAGCGAGTTTATTATATAAAATATTCCATTCTGCATCGACAATTTTTTGATATTCACTAACATTGTCGATGCGAATTTCAGCATTATCTCTTTCAGCTTTTAGCTCCAACTCTATATTCAAAAGAGCAATTTTGCAATTTTTATATGTTTTCGGTTGCATTTCAAAACCAGCATATGAGAATGTTTTCTTAAAAGCAACCCCGGCGACCAGCTGTGAATCTTCTAAAGCTCCCCCTTGCACTTTTTTAATTCCAATCATGTTAAGAGGCAAAAGATCGTCCAAAAGAAGCACCGCATCCACGACCATTTTTGAGAAAAACTCTTTTTGTTGGTGGATTAACTTAGAGCTTAAAGCAGTAGCAGCACATTTCTCGAGTAAGGAACGAAATTCAACCGCATTCGATTTACTGATTTTTACGGCTAGTTCGTTAATTTTCTCCAAGCATAGTTGTAAGGAGCGACGGACTGATCTAATGATCACTCTCGGGTGGACACCCTCTTCTACAAACGGCTTAATTTGTTTTAAGAATTCTCCTGCCAATAACACAACGCTCGTTGTACCGTCACCAACTTCAACGTCTTGAGATTTTGCAATGTCAACTAATGTTTTTGCTGCAGGATGAACAATATCTAACAACTTCATGATGGTTGCACCATCATTAGATATTGTAGTTTTCCCATTGTTATCAACAATGAGCTTGTCCATACCACGAGGACCCAATGTTGTTTGTACTGCTTCGACGACCGATTGACAGGCATTTATATTTGATATAAGCTGTGGCTTTCCTTGAGAGGTATCTGTTCCTTCTTTTAGGAGAACGATTTGTGGTTGCTAGCAAACAAAAATGAGGAAAGTATAAACATGTGATTCTTAACCTCAAAAAAAACATTTCAGTGGTATTTAGAAGCGACTGTAAATAAGTTAAGGATAAAAAAGACATACTTACCATCATGTTTACAGCTTAATATTGTATTTATCCCACACCTAAGAATTCTTTTTCAATTTTAACTTAAAGATGTGCTCTAAATGCTCAAAGTTGCCGGATGAGAGATACACCTCACTGAAATTAGCTGACAGTCGTCGTACGATGCCAACTTGAAGAAAATATAGTAGCATTAGTAATTTTTATAGCGTTTTCGATTGGCAAAACTCGTACTGCACGAGTGTTGCACGAGAAACTGAAGAAATCCATGTGAAAATTGCTCTCAATGGAACATAAATATTCGTAAATATTTGCTGGCATTTGTCCATAACCTCATTTTAGATTTGTATTTATACAATGATTTAGGTAATCGACAAATCTGTATTCTAAAAAATGACTGAAACGATTTCACTATTATTTATGATAAACAATGAGGAATATAAATTTGAAATTCCTGTAAAGAACCAATTTTTGGCGTTCACTTTAAAGAGTAAATGCAACTTTTTGTAAAGTAGAAATTATATGGCTAGTTCATCATCTTCGCTATCGCTAGATGACAACAAAAAACTCTCCAACGCAAGAAACAAATTCAAATTGGCGCACTTTTATTTTGAAAATTTGCTCCACGAGCTCTCCGACCTCNCCATTGCCCTTCGCAGAGTAGTCCGGCTGGACGCCGCATGTCCGGCGTAGCCGCGTAGAGGAGGCCGGCGGGAATTTGCCAGCCGCGCGGCGTCCCGCCGGATGTTGTGTGAAAAAACTCATCTACACTACTCCCATAGCCCAACGCCGTATCAGGCGAGCGCCGTACGGCGCGCGCCGGATCGTGTGAAAGAGCACTAACAGTTCGTATAGGAAGTTAGCAATTAATGATAGTTCGGTGCGTGAGACTCTTTCCTTTTCTTAAGCGTGAGGGTGTGATTGTCAACTTTTTAAGGTTATTTTATAACTTTGTGGACTGTTGTCTAAGCTTTGGGGTGTGTGGTGACAATTTCTTTGCTTTGCAAGGCACGTACTTTGTGTCACAAATTCCTAATAAATTTGTATTAAGATGGTCCATGTACAGAAAAAAAAGCGCGTGTCCAAGAAATCCAAATTGTCTTGGAGAAAACATGTTGATATTACTGATTTGGAGCACTACTTGGAAGACAAATGGCTACAGGAACGTTTAGGGTAGGTACATAACATTATCAGTGGTGTAGCAAAGATAATTGATTGTAACACCAATTACATATCGGAGTTTCTCTCTAAAACATAAACCTCTCGTCAGGAAACATTGCCGGTCACAGAAGACCTGATCCCGGTCTACAATCTGTGTTTTTCTAAAGATGTGAGCGACTTCCGGGATAGGATCGTGCCAATGTTGAACGAAAAGTCTTTTCGCTCAACATTGGCACGATCCTATTCCGGAAGTCGCTCGCATCTTAAAAAAAACATAGATTGTAAATCGACACAAGGTGTGCTGTGACCGGCGATCTTTCCTGGCGAGAGTTATATTTACCCTGTCTCATATACTTTAACTGAAGATAATCTATTTTCAGAACACCCGCAACTGAGAAATCTAATGAAGAGTTGTTCTTGGTTGATGCCACACCTGAAACAAAAAAGGTTGTTACATCTAAGCAAAAACGTCGTCTATTACTAAGAGAAAAGGCTCCTAAATGTTTTTCTATTTTGCAACCGCACAGTGCAGTTCCTGCTCCAATGACAAAAAAGTATGTTTTGTTTGTTTTCTATCTAATGCATCAATTTAAATTTGTAGGAACCAAAAAAATGGAAAGACGACGTTGGAGTCTCTAATTGAAAAGAAGTTAAAAAAACATGCACACAAATTCCAAAAAATTCCCACGTATAGTAGAGGAAAAGTGCGGCGATTAAGTAAATTAAAGAGTGAACAACGTAAAGTTAGTTTTAATTCTAACGTGTGGAATTGTGAAGGTAGCGATTAAGTCGGTTTTGTAAGTATACAGTTTGTTGCTTTGTAGCGCTTAATCAAGTTGAGGGCGAATGGATTAAAGATGATACAAAGGAACATACTTTGCACGGTACCAGCCAATATCGCAAATCGGCTCCCCAGTCTATTCTCACCAGACCCAGTATCTTGCCTTCAATTGAGATACCACATCCTGGAACATCGTACAATCCTGATTTTAAGGATCATCAAAAGCTTCTAGAAGAGGTGGCCAAAAGAGAAGAAAAAATAATGAAAGACGAGAGACATTTGGAACGGGTTACTACGGGAATGTTTAGTAAGGTTACCGAATCCGAAAGAGATGTGAGTATTTATCTAAGCCATAGTGTAAAGAATAGAATAGTGAGAGAATTTCTATGGACTTTTTAAAAACGTCCAATTTGTACAGTGTCTGATTCAAAATTCAATTGAACTTACCTGTGAAGGTAGATCGTTATTATATGAGGTTTGCAGTCTGAAGATGTAATCGAGGATGTAATGCATTATGTCGGCCCTTTCAGTGCTCTTGCAACAAGTTTTATAATAAAAAGAAAACTCAATTACCCAGCCCCCTCTCCCTTTAATGTAGATTATTTTTGTATGTAACAGTTCTCACACTAAACCCAGTGGTCGAATTGGGGGAGTATGCGGGGGTATGGCGTACCACCACTTTTTTATAAATAATTAAAACGTACCCCCACATATACCATGAAACAAAAACGTACCCCGAAGTATATGAAGATTGTTGACCAAACATAAAAATTAAATTTCAGAATTTTTTCCCAAAAAAGGATTCTATCCAGCCGCAAAGTATCAAACAGATTATGTTTTGTAGCTGTAAATTAAAGGTATCTAGGTATGTACTACGTGCTTGGTAAATACAACAATTTTCTGCTTCTTAATACTTGTCGGTCTCATATTTAAAATCGTCACTGTCAGTGGCTTTTGCATATTTTTTGTATTAGTAAAATGACTCCTCTCCCGCGTACTATAAACTGTACTTTTGTGTACCTGTACATAGTAATAAGTTATTTAGCCTGCTCAAGTGACCGCTGAAAATTTTATTAGCAAATTACGGCGTACATATTTCTTTTAATTTGTAACGAAGTGAAAGTTGCTGTCAAATTTTTTTACTGTGATAGTTGTGATACTTCGACGAGTACACAAATTTATGAAATCTTAAATGTCAATTTCAAAATAAATAAATATTTTTATATTTCTGTTCGACAATGTTTTGCCCCCCCCCCTCCTCTACATTCGTTCGACAACAGGATTTGGCACCGATCAGACGTACCCCTGCTTTTTTTAGCCTCTTCGACCACTGACTAAACCGCATAGTTTTCTAAATACTTAAGAAAAACTGACCAAAACTACTAAGTTACCAACTTTATATAAATAAGAATAACTATAGCTCCACCCATTTGACTCACTCTCAAAGGCAGATATTTTACTGCACAGATATTTCAACGTTACAATTCTCTGCTAAATCTCCTCGTATTCTATTCGAAATAAAGAATATTTCCTTAGTTAGCTTTTAGTTTGGCCACACATATTTTATATGTAAATTCGTACATTACTGAACGAAATTAATTATTGGATGTGTATTGCATAACGCACAAATATTAAAGAAGCGAAAAAAGCATGTGTATTTATTGGCATTGCTATAAATTAAAACAAAATTTGCTATTCATCTGAAAATAAACCAATTTTTCGCTATAAATGATATCTGGCTAATTACGACAATTTTACATATGCGTTTTCCGTCCTCGTTTGAGATTAACTATTCTCGCGATCGTTTATAATTTATAATTTTATATTGCTGCCTGTCTGTTCCTCTGTTCGTGTGCGCGATAACTTTGTTTAGAAACGTCCGGCCGCTTTGAAAATTGGTTATGTTCCTGAGGGTAACAGAAAGGTTATTATTTTCAGACACGTAGGAAAACAAATCAAAAAGTTGTAGCTCCAAAACTCCCCATACCTCCAACAAAAAGTTTTTTTTAAATAATATTTATTAGAACATATGAAGCTCCTTATCTTATTTTTTTACGTTTAAATTTCTCATTAAACCCGATTTATTGGAATGGACACTTACAACTTTTTACCATTTCTTACAAACCACCAAAATTAAAAGACAACTAAGTACACAAGAAGTAACCGATATAAAACAATTAATAAATGATTACATATTCAGTAACTAAAGAAGGTATTCGTTGCATGATGCAAGTTTCTTGATAGGTATCTGAATTTTATGTACCTAATAATAATGCGCAGGTATAATATCAACATTCAAAAGTAAAAAAACGATTTATAAAAGGTGTATTTCCACGTTAGCAGTCTTTTTTGCGAAAAAAATAGTTACCCACCACCCCAATTGGTTTTTAGTTTCGGGAAAATCCGCCCACATTTTTGAAACAAAGTGCACCAAGAGAGTCCTATACTACAAAAATTACAAGCCCAATGTAAATTACAAATAATGAAAAAATATATAATTTCGCACCTCGTTTCGCACATCTTGCTGCCCCCAGAAAGTGGCACCCTGGTATTCACAGTTAAAATGTCAGAAAGAAAAAGTCGTCTACAAGTATAATGAAAATTATAGGTATCCTCGTTTCCCATCTATAACTTTGTTTTAATTTCGGAAAAAATCGGCTACAAATGAGATAGCACTGCGCAATCCTCTTTTTTCACACGGTTTTCAATTTGATTTTATAAGAAGCATCTTACGCGAAATTTCAGAAGAAGTAGTTCACATACATACCTAATGTAGGTTTGCGCATGCGCAATAATTTTTTGCGCGTTTTTAGTCGGCCTATTTAGATACAATGTATTTTTTGGTGTGTATTTAATGCCTTTATTCTTTCTCTTATAATTTTAGAAAACGGATAGATACGGATGTTCAAAAACTAAATGTAACAATAGTATAAAATTTGTAATCAAATTAAACCAATACCGAACCAAATGGCAAAAAAGTAGAACATTAGATTTGAAAGCGACGCAGCTTTCGTATGGACGGATGGACCCACGAAGGGGCGCACAAAGTGGCCACAGTAGTTTTTTTTTAATTTTTGTAGACTTGCGCTAACATCTTGGCTCTGCGTACGTCCAATTCATTTTCGGACACACGTTTTCAATTTTCTTTTACAAGAAGCATCTTCTGTTAAAATTGCAGAAAAATTGGTCCCTAAATAAAAAAGTTGAATTTGCGCATGTGCAATCTATTCTTTTTAATAATAATAATGTTTATTTACGCCTAGGGCAATTTACAATATAATATACTATAATAATAAATAATCGTAGCTAACAACTACGTGTACCTAAGTAGATGACACGAAATAATTAAATTTAAATATTGATATAATAACACGTAACGTCATTCAGTTAAAAGTATTATAGTATTCCATTTGAAAATCGGGAGAGATACACTAAATAAATCGATTTTATCATTAAAATTGTTCAATAACTCCAACAATCGATTTCGAGGACTGTTACGAAGGTAAAGAGTTCGATTAAGTCTCATGTAAAGAAGCCTCGAAGATCGAACGAATCTTTGAGGAACATTAAAGTAAATGTCAGACAAGATAGTATGACAGTTTATGTGGCCGTTTAATAACTTAAAGCCGAACTGTAGGGTAAGTAGTGTTCTTCGATTTTCTAACCGCATGATATTGAGATATAGTCTTACGTCATTGGTTCTTTCAAACACGATTCCTGCCAAAGAGAGCTTATATTTTAACAATAGAAGAAAATAGGATTGCACTCTTTCCAATCTATCGATATGTGTGGTAAGATAGGGAGACCATATTATACAGCAATAATCAAGATTCGATCGAACTAATGAGTAGTATAGGGTGCGTAATGTGCATGGATTAGAAAAACTTTTGCATTGCCTGTTGATAAACCCAATCATTTTGGTAGTTTTAGATACAATGTGATCATAATGCAATCGAAATGTAAGCTTGGAATCCAAGATCACACCTAAATCACGAACAGAATCCACGCAATCAATCAGCTGACCGTACAGATAGTAACTTTGCAAAGTTGGAGAGTTCCTTCTGGAAAAACAGATCACGTGACACTTTTCAACATTTAATTTCGTGTCATTTTCAACCACCCACTTTTCAAGTCGCACTAAATCAGATTGTAGCAAACTCATGTCTCGGTCTGCAATAGGTCTATATATCTTCAGATCGTCCGCAAATAAGACATGTTTAGACACAAACACAGATGATATATCGTTTATAAAAATCAAAAATAGTACTGGACGAAGATGGGATCCTTGAGGAACACCCGAACTCACTTCAATTGGATTGGACCACTTATCACTTATCTTCACCTGTGCTTTCCGATTGCATAAGTAGTTCTGGAGCAGAATCAAAGCAGTTCCGCTAACACCATATTTTTTTAGCTTAAATATTAATAAGTCGTGGTTAACTTTATCGAAGGCCTTAGCGAAGTCCGTGTAAACCGCGTGAACATCAAGTCCACGGTCCAGTGAGACGAAAATGTCATTGGTGTAACCGAACAAGTTGGTTTCAGCTGATCTGCCTTTGCTAAATCCGTGTTGGTATTGAGTAATTATAGTCGAAAAAGCATCCGTTAATTGAGGAGCAACAATCGCCTCCAATAATTTCGGAATAGCAGAGAGAATTGCTATAGGTCTATAATTAGAGATTTCATTCTTAGCACCACTTTTATGTATTGGAACTATGAATTTTTCCACACAGAAGGAACACATCCACTTTTTAAAATAGACGAGAACAACAGAAACATAGGTAAATAGATAGATTCGGCACAACATTTTAAAAATCTAGGAAGTATTCCGTCAGGGCCGCCACTCCCGTTCTCTTTGGTACGTATGAGATGGTTGAAAATCTGTTCAGCAGAAATTGTGAAACAATTCAGTGTTACCTCAGTTTTATATACAGGGTGGTGCCTAGCGCAACGCAGCGTAGGGATTTCAATGGTAATTTCTTTATAGTCAATTACTAGCTCCCCTAGTTATTTTAGAGCAAAAGTCTAAATACGTTTTTTTTAGAGAAACAAATACTGCATCTGTTCATACTTTTAGTTATAATTTTCCATTTTTCAAAACCGTAGAAATCGACAAAATAAAAAATTACATTTTTATAAATCAGTGATGCTTTGAAATCTTTAACATACAACTAGTGCATCGCATCTAAGTTATCGTTGTTTGACGGCGAACGATTTTCATATTTAATTCTGTTTCAACTAACCGACGCAATAAAAGGCATCTTAGGGTAATGTTTTTGTAGAGAATGTATGCTGCATCTGCATCAGATACTATTTGTTTATCATTTTCCGGAATCAGAGTACCTACATAATCGAAGATGGTTTTGAAAAACGGAAAATTATAACTAAAAGTATGAACAGATGCAGTATTTTTTTCTCTAAAAAAAACGTATTTAGACTTTTGCTCTAAAATAACTAGGGGAGCTAGTAATTGACTATAAAGAAATTACCATTGAAATCCCTATGCTGCGTCGCGCTAGACACCACCCTGTATACCTACGCTCATATTAGTTATATAAAAACCACCATCTGTTAAAATTTCGTAAAAATGCGGCACATGCACAATCCTTTTTTAACAACCCAAATGTCGAAAAAAGTAGAATTTAAGGTAAGCATATAGTAGCGATACAGCTGTAAGGGCAGATACACAAACGGGCGGGCGGACAGATCGGCGAACAAAGTGACCAGACATTTTTGTATTTTTACGAAAATGCACTAAAAAAGGCGGCCCGTAGTTTTATAACAACGTGCCTAATCAACAATTATAAATTGTTAGATTACATTACAGCCAACAGTGTTGAATTATAGGTACTACATAGGAAAAGATTTGTTCTATAAGTGATTATTTATTTGTGTTGGATGAAAGTACCCATAGCCATAGGTATATTCATAATTAATCACACCGCATTATCTATTGATAATGTGAGGTAGGTAGATATAAATTTAAAAAACATCTTTAGAAATTGAGATTTTATTAATTTGCTCATTTCCTTTGTTTATAAAAATGTAATAAAAGGAAAAATTGTCCAACATTCTCTCTACAATTGCCTATGCCTTAACGTGTCGAGTTTCCCTTTTAACTTTACTACTGTGTGGTATTAAATTCTGCAATTACACGAAAGTTTGCAAAGCAATTTTTCGGAACGCAGATAAAATTTTATAAAATTGGAGACACAGAGGCATGTGGTTAGTTAAGTAAAATCTATTCCAAAATTTTGACGCCAATATCTTTACTGGTTCCAAAGTTATGCGCTAAGAACGATTTGGTTACTTTAGCATACAATATTTTTGTCGAATGAAACTACCTCGATTTTTTAGCGCATTTTTGAAAAAAATACGCTATTATATTCGTTATTGCTGGCAGGCCGGCTGTCCGCGTTAGATCTCCACAACTACAATAGCTAGAGACTTCAAATTTTCACTAAAAGCTTTCTGCTATAGTGTAGATGTGCAGGCACTAGTCTATTTTGAGTTAGATTACTTGTGAGATGGATAATTGAAGAAAATAATTTCGATATGGGTTTCGGAGGTGCTATAATTTTACCGTTAGATAGCGCTACTAGTATAAAAACTTATTATTTACCTTGTGATTTGTTTTACAAAATGAAGACGTACCGTCAATTGAAATTAAATAAAATTAATTATTTAACGCAGCCAAAATTACTCGTGAGATCGATAATTTTAAACTTCTCTAATAAAATACTGACCTGCATTACCAAAAATGCGCTTTAATCATGCATATGCTGATTTACAACTTGTTTACTTATTTTTCCCAGTATCACTTATTGTCCCGACATCGTATGCGACTTGTTTTTTTCGAAAATTTGAATAATAATTTTCACTACAGCAGAGCCTTAAGCCATCTCACTATTCTATTATTTGCTGGATGTTAAACTAATTTTATGATGGAATGATAGATAGGCACCTACTGACATTCTTTATTTTACTTTTAGAATAACTGGTTGGTTGAAATGAGTCAAGGACTACAAAAGGAAGAGGCTGAAAATTCTGACAATGAATACAAATCCATTAATCCACCTGTCAAAAATAAGAAAAAAGACTTGAAACAGAGACGGAAACAGCGAGAACATAGTAAGCTTCTAAGTGCTATACAAATGGCCAAGAAAGCCAAGAAAAAAATTACTGACATACATAATTTGAGAAATATGATGCAAGAAATTAAAAAACAAACTGATAAAGCGGAGATATTAAAATCGAAACGACTCAAGAAGAAAGAATACACACAACTTGAACCAAAACGGTTGGCCAGACGTAAGTTCGAGTCGGAAGAAATTGAATTTAACGCCCCGCGCGATATTTCGGGCAATCTTAGAACTGTAAAAAAAGAGGGTAGTATTTTACTGGATCGTTTTAAGAGTTTTGAAAGGCGCAACATACTGCGCCCGTCATCAAAGAGCAACTCAAAGAAAGGCAAATTTAAGAAGTTTACTAAATCTGATCATAAAGACGATTGGAAAACAACAGTCGCCAGGCCGAGTTTGTCATAACCATAAGAAATATTTATGTTCGATGTTTCACTTAAATAAAGTAGTGATCGAAATTTTTACTACTTTTATTTGTAATTTATTTTAAAAAACAAGAAATCATGTAAAATTGACAACATATCGTCTACTTTGTTAGGTATTTTTTTTTATAGTGTCTATACCTTGATTATAGATCAATCATTTTGTAATGACAATCATGACTATAGCAGTGATTTTTGGCAGAAAATTTTCGTACAATGGGTTTTGTCACTTTTTGATTTACTACATTCAAAGATCATACTACACTAGATAGACAGCGCTGTATAAATTTTAGACTCTCATAATTTGTCCCGCCAAATAAGTCGACTGCATCCTCCAGCGGCTATGTTTTTATGAGAATAGTACAAACTACCTGGCGGGGTAAGAAGACGCGCGAAATGGCAAAGCACAGTTATTTTTAGAATAAAGGGCTATTGTATGGGATATCAGTGTCATTTCTCAGCGCAACCTTGTGTTGTGTTGTATTCACATCTTGTTTTAAATTAAATTTTTTATCGTAACACAACGAAGTTGAGGTAAAGCTTATGTGCTCGTGTTTCCGTCTGTCCGTCCATCCGTTCCATCGAGATCTCGGCCCCTGGGCCACCTAGCGACTTCGGGTTTTCGCTAATTGATAGCCGTTATGGTCTATATTTGCCCATTTCGATCAGTTTCGTATTTTCCATATTTTGCGCAGACTGCGCAATGGCAACTTTCATATTTATGGAGATATTTCTTTGAAATTTTAACCACAGACGCTTCTAGTTCCGACTCACTTTAGCTGGACACAATTTTATTATGTAGGAGGCTAAGCGGGATATCTCGTTTATCCCAATCATAAAATGCTTAATTACAAGAAATCTAAATTAGATAAATGAGTGGTTACAATGTAAATATGCCTGGATAAGTAGGTGCATATTATCACAGATTTATAGTATACATATTTAAATATGTGATATTATATTTGAAGATTTGCTAAAGTATCGTAGATACGTGAAACTAAAAGTTTTCAGAAATTATGCTAAGAAAAAAGACGCTTTTGCAATTATTAATTTAATCCAAAAATCTGGAAAATGTATTGGTTAGCGCTGGTTAAAAAAAAGCAAAGGGAATATTGTGTACAACTTTCAAATTATTTCTTTCATTGTAACGTCCTGACTAATAGAATCTACCTCGTCTTGAATGACGCCCACTTACAAATGTAATTTTATCCCAATGATAGTGAGAAGTGTTCAGTAGGTCATGTTTATGTGTCTCGTGTTTAGACAATAATCACTCTTTGTATTTATGATGTGATTCGAACTCGTACGAAGACGGCTTCGGATGAATCAGTTACGTTCTTAATTTTGAAAGCCCCCTATAAATATTTTTATGGAACTACTTAAACGCGAAACAACTCTTGCATTGGCTATCTAGTGTAGTATGATCTTTGCTACATTGCATCAAAACAAATACAAATGTGCAATCAGAACGGAAGTGCAGTATCACACAGTTGTAAGTAGTGTAAAATTCGCGTAATATATTTATCTTTGCGAATATTCGGAAATTTATGGCAATATCCATATTTTATAAAATATACCATACTATTCAGACTATTCTATACTAATTACAACACGAAAACCAAATCAATGTTTTAATAAATTGATGTTTTTAATTACAATAAAACTCATCTGAGGTTTTGAATTGCTTATGTAACATGCATTAAAAAGAAAAATCTTTTCAGTTTCAGTTTATATGCCATGCCCATAACAAATACTGTACCTTCAAAACCAAACTAAAAATTCACACAAATTAAAGAAAACTTATTAACGTTCGCGTAATCTCATGAAAATGGAAGTTGGTCGATTAAAAACGTATAAACTGGAAAGTTCGGAAGAATGTTTCGTAAAGTCCTCAAGAATTATTTGCTTAAATTTCCGGTGGGTGAATATTCGTTCTTAGCAATGCGAGCATTACCGGAAATTCGCTTGGAAATATTCGTGCCTCACCACACTAACTGTAAGTGGTGTAGCCAGTATTTTACGTCAAAGATTTATCCTAACAACTTACATGCCTAGTATGGTTTTTCTGTTTAAGTAATTTGAAATTGTATTGACATTTAGTATTAAAGTTTTGCAATAACAAAACAATAAAAAGTGGAAATCTTAGGAAAAAATAAGAGAAGTGTGGTGGAAAGTTTTGCTCTAAAAAATATTCAAAACTGGGAACCTGTGCAATACATTTTTTGCATACTTCTCAAAATGTGCGAAGAATAAATGTTACAGTTTAACAAAATATTTTTCGTTTCATATGTAGGTACGCTATCTTGGATGTTGTATTTTAAGAAAGATGACCGTTCTGTAGGCTAATGGACATGTAGCGATGTGAGAATTAAAAATTGTATTCAAATAAAGGAACGCTTTTATGTGTAGATAGTTTATATAATGCACTTACAGACATAGAGAGTAACAGACGTTTAAATGTAGACGAAATCACGTTTTAAATATGAATTTCTGTACTCACTTGAAATCATAATATGTATTCAACACAGATAAATGGACACATCAAAAATCGACATATGGAATATCGGTTCGGCTTTGGAATATTCACCCGGTATATGTATATTACTTTCTCATTACCGTTGGTGCGTTTTCACGCTCATGCAATTTGCGCAAATTGACTTGTGCATGCCAATTTGTGCAAGTAAATTGGTGCATGAAAACGAAAATTATTTACTTGCGCAAGCCAGAAAATTTGGTTTGAGTAAAATCTGGATGGTCAGATATTTTGCATGTGGTTGATGCAAATGCATGAACGTGTAACGACACACCAATTGGACGCATGCGTAGAGGGTGAAAACAGAATTGTTGTTCCGAGTGCACATGGTTTGTTGTACGTTGTTTTGTTTGTGATAATAATGTCAAAGAAAGAAAAAGAGTTCGTGATACAGGTTATTGAGCTTTATAAATCCTTTCCTTGTCTTCTGCGATCTTCTTCTTTTTTGTCTTTTAGCACTTTGAACTTTTTAATTAAACAAACACCAACTATTGCTATTAATTCCTCTTCGTAGTCCATCGTTTACAATGATAATCTGAACTGTACTGTAGACAAATTTGTGCACCAAACTTGAACCGTGAAAATGGATGCATGAGTTCAGTGAATTTGCACAAATTGGCATGCACAATTCAATTTACGCAAATTGCATGAGTGTGAAAACGCACCATTACGGCGTAACATAATCTGCGGTAATACTTCTTTTTTTATCTGAGTAATGAATATTTTGTTATAAGCTGTGCCCGGTTCCCCAGTAGACCAAAGTCTTGCATATCCAAACGAAGCAGGCATCATTGCGAATTCCCTATCGCCTTTTGTACGCAATTCAATATTTACTGCTAACAAGTTACAGGGTCTCTTTTTTTCCCCTCCAAGGCGTCGACATCCTTGGTCATTGGCCTTTTTTTTTACTTATACCGCCATCGCCAATCATCACTACTCTAGGTATGTGTAATATGTTAGTTAAATCATGTTGAATAAGTTATTTCCTTTCAGAAAATCTAGCACTCTCCTACTCCCGCAAGTTCTCCTGTAGGTCTGGTGATATTTGCAACGCTGTTCTTGTTTGGACAAAATTTGGACACGTACATACGATATGGACGACCGTTATCCGTTCACCACAATGACACGTCGGAGGAGGTTCTCCGCGAAGTATATAAGCGTGGGTGAGTCCAGTATGTCCTATCCGCAGCCTTTGTATTTTCACGCGTTCAGTTCGTGTTAGCTTAAAGCTGGATTCACATGAATACGAAATCCGATGATACTGTAATCCGAAAGACGTATGATTGATCAACAATTTCAAATGTCAAGCAAATTTGAAATTGTTGACCAATCATTCGCCTTTCGGATTACAGTATCGTCGGATTGCGTATGCATGTGAATCCAGCTTAAGTGGCGGAATCCATTCCGCCGTCCTTCCCACGGCCAGCCTCAGGGCTGCTTTAAGATCCGTGGGTCTTAGGTCCTGGACGTCTACTCGGGTTCCTCTTGTTGCACGTTTTGCTGCCGCATCAACCAGTTCATTTCCTTGTATTCCTACATGACTGGGTATCCACGCAAATTCCACTACCTTACCGGACTTCGTCACAGTTGTGTACATTGCTTGGATTCTCAGAATAAGAGGATCACGGGGAAAAATGGCCCGTATCCCGGCCATAACACTGAGGCTATCGCAAACAATCAGAAACATGTGTCCTCTATTTATTAGACAATACAGCAGAGCCTGCCACAATGTATACAGTTCTGCTCCGTATACAGTTGTCATAGGCGGAAGTGTCCACTCGTGTGACGTGTAGTCCACGGATACAGCGCATCCTACTTCTGATTCTGTGCGTCATGGCGTAATAATTCTTATTAGGCCATGCTGTGCGTGATCCATCAGTGTAGATGATGGTTGAGTCCCGATGCTCCATAAAGGCAAGAAAGTTGCTTCTGTATATTGTTAATGGGGTATCCTCTTTAACGTATTCCGCCAGTTTTAAGGTTTTCATTTTCGGGATCATCCAAGGTGGAACTTCGCCTTGTCCAAATGGTAATACGGACGGTGTCTTTCTTTAACTTATTTAATTCAAAACATAATTCAACGATTTAAAAACGAATTTGCAAATTAGGTTTCACATTAATTTGCAAAACCAATGCATAAAATAGAACCAATCCAAATTCTGCCGACGCTCATCCTTAAAACATTATTTTTTGCGTATCATCAAACCAGTAGGCTGTGAAAGACGAGTAGGTACACAAGAAGTAATTCACATTTTACAGTTTTATCACAATTCGAATGATTTTTACATGTAAACAATACAGAAAAATGCAAATTAGAGGATGCGCATAAAAGAGAAAGGATGAAAGATTCCATAAAAAAATTTAAAATTGTATCGGCCCATTGAAAACTGAAGAAGACATAAACGCAAAACAAAAATAAAATTATTATATTATGATATTCCCATCGTATTAAGTTACAATAACACAGTAAGGTAGGCAATATGCATACGAGGGCAGATTTGGTCTTAGACTTTTAAAGAAAGGGGACTGATAATAATCCTATCAAAGGCAATGCTGCGCGTTGAAACCTGGGGCGGCCATATTTTCGGAGCCAAAGTTTGTTTAATTTTTTATTTTCGTGATTATATGTGATCCTTAAGTCTCGAAATGTGCGATTAAAAACATTATTGGACAATGGTACATTGTAGTGCACGGAAGTGATAGCCAAAAAAAACACGAAAGTATATCGTTTCACAGGTATAAATTATAGGTTAGTTTTCGGTGAAATAACAAACAAATGTGGGCTTCACTTTACGATCATTATTATCACTCCTCACTATTTCCTTTTCTAAGGATTTGGTACACGCGCTTCCCATAATAACAGTCGGAGTGCCGCCACCGTTGTGAATTCACCTTGACTGTGATGTATCACTTACGTTACACAACGCGCAGGTTATCTGCCAAAAACGTCATTTTGCCTATACTAAATAACGTAAAAGCTCTAGCACCTGAGCCTACGAAATCTTGACAATTAAACTGCGCAATGTCAACTTCCGTATTTAATCATATATTTTGTTGAAATTTTAACCATAAATACTTCTGGTGAAGGCAAATATACCGCATATAGTAAAAATCAGTTATGCGCATGCGCAGACTGCACAATGGCAACTTTCTTATTTATGGAGATATTTCTTTGAAATTTTAACCAAAGTTGCTTTTATGCCCGTTTGCACCGACAAATTTAAGCCGAGCTTAGCTTAAACGTAGCTTAAAATCCATGGCAACCATTGCCTCAATAATCGTTGCCATGGAGTTTAAGCTACGCTTAAGTTAAGGTCCACTTAAATTTGTCGGTGCAAACGGGCATTAGTGTAAGCAAACTTATCGCATATTGTTAACATCAGATTAATGCGCGCATGCGCAGGATGAGCAATATAAACTGTTATTTATCGAGATATCTTTTTGAAATTTTAATCACAGATGCTTCTGTTAAAGAGAAACATAACTGATATTGCAAAAATTAGATAGTGCAAACTTCTTTATTTATCAATATTTCTTTGAAATTTTAACCATAGATGCTTCTAGTAAAGAAAAACATATCACATGTAGTAAAAATCAAATCCACGCATGCGCAGACTGCAAAATGCCAACGCTTCTAGTAAAACAAACATCGCATACCTATAGCATAAATTAACTGTGCTCATCGCGCGACGCCAACTTTTTTATTTATTTTAACCATATATACCTCTAGTAAAGAAAATCACAGCGCACATATCTATGGCCTTTTGGGAAGTAGGTACTGATCATTCATGAAAAATGCGCTGAAGTTCTCGCCTTAGGGCGAAAACCTTTTTACTTGTTTGATTATACTTAGTCTATTCTATGGGCTCAGAAAGAAAGCAAGTGATGTGCAAACGAAATGCGCTTCTATCTTTTCTTTATTCGTAGATCTTTACAAATTTACAAATCTTTACAAATGTTCCAGCAACAAAGTCTTAAATTTGCAAAAAAATTCTAAAAATACAAATCAACTAAATCTAATTGAGTAGGTACTTTATTTGTTTAGATACCTATTTTTTGTCTTGGTAGCGTTTCCAAAACTTAAAAACATTTGGTGGATTGCCAAAGAGGCTTCTAATTGTAACAACTTGTATAATTCCAATTATTGCTATAAGTATAATATTCCTAATTGAAACTTGATCAACTAAATTACGATGTGCTATTTGCACATGTATATCGCTGGACATCGTTGCGCCAAGGTGGTGTTGCCATTCTACGATTTCATTTAATTGCTCAAATAGCCTTTGGGTAATATCACTAATATGTTTAACTTTTACGTCGTAGATCTCTTTATCCGGTACTCCTGTCACTGGATTCTCATCATCACTCCAACTGATGCGATTCTTGATAGTGCTATTTCTTCTTATGGTTAGATCAAAAAATACCTTTTTTACATTTATATAACTAAAACGGTTATCCAAGCAAAGTTTGTAGTCACCTGATTGTAGAGCCACTATCTCGATATTGTTTTCCAATTTTTTTTCATAGTTATATACCGTATTTCCTCCTGGTTCAGCTACTTTTAATGATATATCTAGTAAACCGTTGTCTCCACCATCAATCACATGGTAGAATAAGTTTACTATATCTTCTACTTGGGCATGTTGGTAGAAACACGCCTCTTTGCCGGGTTCAACATAAGTCGTGAATATCTCACGCGAAAAACTTGCGACTTCTTTAAACCAAAAGGTAGCCAGAAATAACTGTAAAGAAATGTGTACCATATTAACTTGATTTATCACAGTTTAGCTCTTATTAATCCGGTGTTTTCTTTTTAGAGCATGTCTTGAAAATGAAAACAATGATGTGTCCTATTTAGTTAAAGGAACACATATATTAAGTACATACCTATATGCTTATCTCAAAATTGATATAAAGATTGATAATTTTTTTTCAAGTGAGATACGTACGTGTAACATTTAACGTGATTTGTTTTCATCACTATCTACCCACACATTTTCAATTCGGCAAGGTTTTTTTCATGTTTTTCCAAGTCAAGGGTTTATAGCATTTCTCTACCTCATAGGTACACTTCGGCATTGAATACATTTTTTATTCAATGACTCTGGACGAGTGCCCCTGAAAATTTAAAATCCATCTAAATGAACACCACAGCATTTACAGACAAAACTACCTAACCTGTGTATGAGTAACGAAGAAAGTAGGACCCCTTACTCTAGCTACGTTGTGTTTAAAAAAAATGTGCCAAATTCGTAACACAACACCTTCCTAGCTCAAACCAAAAATCACGCTTTTGGAAGATGATCTTCCAAAAATCGTAAGCGTAGGGAAAAAACAAAATATCACAAAAAAGTATAGGTTTCTATTAGAAAAAATTAAGTTGCCCTACATTTCACCCTTAAGGGACAGTTACGTGAAAAAGTGCATAGCATAATATGAAGAATATTTTATATAAATCATTTCTTATAACCCCGCTAGTTTCCGCAATAATCGACTGTCTCAAGAGATATGTGACACCCTGTATGTAATTAATTAAGTGACATTTAAATATAAGATGACGAAACTGGTAGTCGCAAAGTTTACCGCGCACAATGACAAGATATGACATACAAATGCAGTTCAACTTAAATCCCAATAAATCATCCCCTGAAACTGATATCTTTTCTAAGCAAAAATGCTTGCTTCAAATGTGTCGTATATAACCCGCTATATTTATTATCGTTCTGTTTCGAATTCCATTTCTTTGTTATACCAGGACTAGGGAATGCAATCCCGCAGCAAAATCTCAATCCCGGTATTTGCGGGATCGTTAGGTGTTAATCCCACGGAATTTTGTGCCGTTAACTTCTGTAGTAAAATAAATCGCTAATTATCACAATATTCAACAAAAAAGTACCTTCAGCCTAACTTAGAACTCAAAAAAACCTTACCTGTAAAGCAAAAAAAGGTGAACTTTTAAAGTGCCTCGAAAATCATAATAAATTTCAAACGAAAAAGTTTAACAATTATTTTGCAAAAAAACAGTCGTCCCCTTGGTCGACAAATTCCTCAATCCCGCGGGATCTCGCTCTGTATTTACGTACGGGATTAATCTCGCAAAAATTCTGCGGGATTCCGGTATTTCGGGATCCTTGTACCGCTCACTTCGCTCTAGTGAGCGGTACCCTTTAAAGACGCAATACTTGCGAGATTATTGCAACAAATGTTTTTTTTGTGGGCGGTTGATATACACCTAAATCAATATTTAGTGACCGCACATTTTGGGCAAAGGGGGCAAGTTGTTAAGTTGATGAAGGAAAAAAGCTTATGTCGATATTTTTAGCGCATTTCCACAAAAATAAAAAAAAAATGCGCTATTGTGGCCACTTTGTCCGTCCGTCCGTCCGTCCGCTCGTTTTGCGACGCTACTAGTTCTTTATCTTAAGAGCTATTGTTCTACTTTTTGCGCTGTTTGGTTCGTTATGGTGTCGAGTCTTGTACCAAGGAAGGAATTTTTTCTGCGGTTATTGCTAAAAAAGTTATTGTAAAAAAAAACAAAAAACCGTTTTTTACATGTTCCATAATTTTACACTTTTGCCGTTTATTAACGATCCTAGAGATCGTTTATAATTTTGCATTACTATCTGTCGTCTGCCTGTTGGTCTGTCCGTCTGTTCCTTTGTCTGTCTGTCCATCTATCTGTCCGTGTGAACGATAACTTTGTTTAGAAATGTTCAATCGCTTTTACATCTCCGTTAGTTATGAACTGAATTGCATGAAATTCAATATGGGCATAGCTTTAGCCATATAATACGCAATGCAAAAAGTTGAATCGAATCGATTCAAAATTCACAGTGCCCTTTTCGCATCTCGACCATTTATAAACCGAATTGCAAACTTTTTTTACTTATAAAAGTATTTGAATGAAATTTGATACATAGGCACTTGGAATAAAGGAAAATCAAACGCCAATTTCAAATTTTGGTTTTGCGCATGCGCAGTGCCAACTTTTTTATTTATGGAAGAATTTAAACGAAATTTGATACATAGGCACTTGGGATAAAGGAAAATCAAACGCAAATTTCAAAATTTGGTTTTGCGCATGCGCAGTGCCAACTTTTTTATTTATGGAAGAATTTAAACGAAATTTGATACATAGCCACTTGGGATAAAGGAAAATCAAACGCCAATTTCAAAATTTGGTTTTGCGCATGCGCAGTGCCAACTTTTTTATTTATGGAAGAATTTAAATGAAATGTGATACATATGCACTTGGAATAAAAGAAAATCTAGCGCCAGTTTCAAAATTTTATTTTGCACATGCGCAGTGCCAACTTTTTTATCTATGGAACCATTTAAGTGAAATTTGATACTTAGGCGCTTGGAACAAAGGAAAATCTAACATTAGTTTTAAAATTTAGGTTTGCGCATGCGCAGTTCCAACTTTCTTATTTAGAAAAGCATTGAAATAAAATTCTTCACATAAACTGAAATTGAAGTAGCACGTTAAAAATGGATTTTAACAGAAGTCGCATCTTACAAATGGGAAATGAATGCAAGTGGAAATGCGCTTTATGTAAATCGTTTACGATTACTTTTTAACTTGTTTAAGAATTAAGGAAATGTGCTATTGTATGCGTTTGTCCGTCCGGACCCACTTCTACCGTTTTGAACTACTTCTAGGGGAATGGTCTTAGAGTCCTGGAATTTTTGCAGTAGGTAGCCTATACCTTGAAGGTGTGCCAGACGGCCATCAAATTTCGCTGCCTAAGAGGGCCCCTCCCCCCCCCCACGAATTATTTCCTGAAATGCTGTTTTTGAAAGTGAAACGTGCATAACTTTTACTTTAATTTAATCTCTCATTGTATTCTAATTAAAGGTCTCAACGAAAGGAACCGTTTTCTACCAACTACTGCCCTGGGGAGTGGAACTAGTTTTAGCCTTCATGGTACCCTAATGAAAGGTCTCAACGAAAGGAATTAATTTCTACTAACTATAGCCCTCCTCCTCGACCTCTTATCGTGATCGGGTATATTCCCTTATACCTCAAGAACGGATTGTCGGAATAGGGTACTCACAAAGGGCGACTGAGACGTCCGCCAGAAATATATCCATTGGTGATGACAAAACAAAAGCTATTTCGGTTTAAAAAATGCGCTTTATCTGCACTAGAGTTGTGCACAATTTATACTTGTTTTACTTACCTAGTTAAGGGTGGAAATTTAGTCTGGAACACTGAATATCTTCAAAACAACAGTTTTTTAAAAGAGGCTTTTTATAGTATCCACAAATATAAACGGTTCGCTACCAACCTACATACCTTCAGTTTGTGATCAATGGCGCACTTCTGCATGGTCAGAAGAGGTACTAGCAACCACTAGTTTTCATTACAGCATATATTTAAAGAGAGTACACTTTTTGTGATATAGCAACAAACTTATTATATTACATAATCAAATTTAAGAACAAAACTCAAATTGAGGAAAATGGTTTGTTAATTAATTTCATAATTTTACTTCTTTGAACATATGTTGTTAAAATATGTTCTCATTTTTAAAAAAGTTCATTCTAAATATAGTTCCTTCCATTAAACAGAGCGACCCTCGGGCCCTCTTAGTTCTGTAGACGCCTCGGTAGCCGCACGCCACTATACATATAAATTAAACATGGATTTCCTGAAATGTTTTTTAATGATTTTTGATACAAAAATCTGATGTAACTGAATACCGAACGATCCTCTTGATCTTCGCACATACATCATTTTTACAACACATCTTAAGGGATTGATTCTGTCCCACCAGATCAGTATAGCTTGTAAAAGCAATTTTTGAATCGGCATTAGTTTTATTTGTATTCGAGGTCCGTATAGGTACACACAAAATTTTATTTAAATATCCGAACAAATAAAAAATTTGAAATTGCGCATGCGCAAAACAATTTATTTGATTCGGCATGATTTTACTTTTATTTGAGGTGCCTACATATAAAATTTCATGCAATTCGGTTCATAAAATAAACTAACGGAGATATCAAAAAATCTAATTGCACATGCGCAAAACAAATTTTTTGATCGGCATCAGTTTTACTTTTATGTGAGGTGCCTACATAAAAAATTTCATTTAAATATCTTAACAAATAAAAAAATTGCCATTGCGCAAATACAAAAGTTGGGCTGCACATGCGCAATTTTTTTTCATCTGCATAGTTAGGTACCTGAGGTTTACGGAATATTTAATTATTTACTAACACCGAAAATCGAACATTCATATGTTCTTTGTAACAAGAATTATAAAAGAAACCCTTTTTTGAGGTTTGGGCTTTTGGCCCGTTAGTCTACGTAGCTGAAAAACAATAGCTCCCTTTCTTATATCCTGAAGAAGTTGTGTATCAGTTTTCAAAGCGATCGGACGTTTCTACACAAAGTTATCGTGCACACGGACAGACAGACAGAAATTATACACGATCTCGAGGATCGTTAATAATATCCAGTAACCACTATAATGTTAAATCAATGATGTCTTTAACACCAACACTTCTCAACAAAATTTTAGGGGTAACATAATATGTACTATACCTACAAACCGGATTTCCCTCTAAAAGCAAAAGAGATAACAAAAAAATACCGATGCTTTAGAGCACTAATAAACCGTTACAACGAAATATCGTCAGTATTACCATTACCATCACGTTTTTAATGACCATTTATTCTAATTTTACAATATACATATTATAATCAACAAAAATGCATCAAATTCATGTAATGGGCATTGAGATAATGCACTAC